ATCACTACTCTGGATGCCCGTCCTTTGTTGGGAAACGCTCCTCCAGGTTCTTTTTAGTTTTTCGTCGCCCCTGTTTCAACTTTAAAAACTTGTTGTAAGCGTGACATTTCAAGTGCGAACCATACATGAAACTTTTCCAGCGACTCACTTGTCTTGTCCATCCTTTTTGCATCAGGTGAATACACTCCCGCTCTGACTTTGATGTTATGAGTGCTTATTAAAAGTGAAACCCTTCATTTTCTGCCCTGCAGTCACATTAGCGGCAGCAGACTTTATCCAATGTAAATCTGTCCACTCAGCCCCCCCGGCTATCTAACTGTCTCAGTCCCCTCAGAAATGAAGCCGTTTGCCATTTCACCCGAGGCCCTCTCATTTCAGGGTGTCCACCCCGTGACAGGCCCGCAGGGTCGCCCATGACAGCTCATCAATCCCACAGCGCCGTAATATGAGGGTTCAATGACGAGCTGACAGGAAATGAGGGACGGCTCTCCGTGTTCATATATGCACAGAGTTTAATGACAGTGGAGTGCTGCAAGGACGAATACGTGACTCCCCGGGTCGTCACCTGACTGTGTGAGGCTGCAGACCCTGCAGAGAGAAAATAGACCTTATTGTGAATAATGGAGGGAGACGTGAGGAGGTTTTCAGCTCAGCAGGACCTTTACTCTCTATCTATCTCTCTATCTATCCATCTATCCATCTCAAGAAACATATAAGTACAACAAAAGCAAAGATCGTTGGGTAAACGCTACAAACCTCTCCACTCATTTCTTTCTCACATAAAAGTTAAAGTAAGACTTGTTCCTTTGCTAACATCCAAGCAAATCCTTCTGCACAGTGGCCTCTGATTGTGGGCCGAGGCTGATATCCAGTCTACCCCAGCAGCAGAGTTCATGCAGGCAGGACCGCCAGGAAGGAGCCGCTGTTGCCAATGACTGATAGTACCGGAGGCTGTGCTGCAAACTTAGTTATTAGGAAAATTTGTTAAATTTAGTGGCCAAAATTCTTCAAAAACATGAGAAGTCCGATTCGGCGAAAAAAAATGAACTGATTTTGTCTGATTAAGCTGTGCTGTGCACTGACTGAGTGCCTTCATTGAGATTTAGACCCCGCCCCCCTTCTTGCGGTTTCGCTCCAGTCTTTCTGTCTGTTTCCTCTCCCCCCACAGCCCCCTGCTGTGACGGTTATTTACCTCTCCGTTCGTCAAACAGCTCCAGCTACATACAGCGTGTTTCATACCTCCCTCCTACCTCTTCATTTCCTCCATTTTATTTATTTGTGTTTGTTCAAACGCTGCTGTTTTTAGCCTGGCGTGAGTAATCATCTTATTCATTTGTCTGGCAGGCTGTTTTCTGGTCCATTTCCTCTCTCAGAAGACGAGATCGTTAAGGCCTTCACTAACACAAGCTGTGAATCTGACTCTTTATGTATATCTACATCATATACTCTTTAAATACTGTTGATTATTGACTCGTATTTAGATTCAGGACATAATGTCTTTTAGTTCGAGTCTCATTTTGTCATTTTTACGATGAAAAGTCGCTGAAAAGTCTTTACTTTAAAGCTCCACTAAGGAGTTTTTCACATCCTTGGAATACACTAAAATTCCTACCGAAGCTTTTTCATACTTTCCAAAAGTAAACTAGACCATCAGCGACAATATCATTAACTTTTATATCCCAGTTTATGGGAAACCGGAGCAAGGGGGTCAGTGCCAGACAATCCAGATTTTATGAATTGAGCATAAATATTGACGATAAATGACCGATTTGACCCACAAAAGTCAGAATGATGAGAATGATACAATGCCTTGTGTTCATAAAGAAAAGACTTCTAAACGATGTTGGGTTAAGAAAAGACCCGTTTTCATGACCACATGTTTGTTCATTAGTGACAGAAATATTTAAAGGTTATTAGCTAATTGTTTGGTGAACAGACTTTCTGTGAAAGGAGGCTGTTCATTAAAAACTCTTTCTAAAAATAAGTCCCACAACTCAAAGACAAGGTGAGGTTTCCATCTGCTGAGGACTGATGACTGTTTTTAAGAAGAAACATCAGGATGGAAATGGATAACTTTTTACACTTTCACACAAGCAACCAATCAGAGGCCAGGGGCCTTCAAGGGAGAAATCAACAAATTTAGCAAATACTTTAAAACTGAAATAATGTGAATGTGATGCAAAAGCTGTGACACAAACAAAAAATTAAGCAACATTCAGGCTGACCTACCTTTAACTGGTGACGTTTTGTTTTGGCCTATAGCAGTATTTCAGTTTTCTTTTCCTGACCTCTTCAGCTCATTCACTCTCATTTAGCTCCAATGAAAGCGAACTGTGATCGTATTGGCCGTCTGCCATGTGTTAATGTATGACTGAAGATGGGGGGGTGGATGGAAAAAGCATGGAAAGGTTCAGTCACCCTTCTGTGGTTAAATAAAGGTTAATAATTACACAGATTAATCCTCCTGTCTGCACTCAGTCTCAGACCCCTCAGAGCTAAAAACTGAGGCTCTGATTTTTATTAAAACAAAATAAAGAAGCATGGAAAGTCAGTCCAGCACTCTCCATATTCCCCACAGGATAACCGCTCATCAGTGGACGGAGGAAAGAAAGAAACGCAGTCAAAGAGGTTTTGTGACGTTTTTTCACTCTTGACTGAATCTGGGTCAAACTTGATCCAGGAGTAAGACTTCTTATTATCCCGACCGGGTTTGTCGGAGAAGTTGATTATAAAAATCACGTCTGGATTAAGAAGTACCTCGCTGATTGGATCGGACAGAGAACCACCAGATTGACGCAGCAGAAAGAAGCAGACTGTGATTCCTGTTTGTAATACTGTTATCTGCCTGCAGACCTCTGCAACAACCTCTGAGACAACTCTGCTGACGCAATCGAGCTGCATCAATACCAAACAGATCTGGACTTCATAAAATACCATAAAAACATGAGAGGCTTCAGTGAGGGCTCTGGAGAAACACTGCTGTCAGCCGCTGTTTTTAACTTTTAAAAGATCTGCTTCATGAAACTGGGGGTTATTAAAAATACTTACATTTTTCAGTTGAACCTCAGAGTTTACCAGAAACTGAAAAAAAGTCCAAACTGAGGCTCTTTTATAAATGATAGCACCTGATATCTCACCTGTATCCTTTAGAAGTCAAATCAGGATCTTCCCAAATTTAGTCTGAGAAAAAATGGCAGGATTGAAAAGTTAACAGTAATCCAAAAACCAGTGAATGAAACAATCTGAAAAACTGAAGAAAATGAAACTCATATAATCTTGTCTGGTTAAGTTATGTTCATGAACCAGTACGATGCAGTACAATAGGAAACTACAGGATATGTGATACGATTCACTAAGATATTATACGATATAATGCAACATGATACATGATACTCTACAGTTAAATATGGTGTGATAAGATACGATATTTCCAATATGATACAATGCGACAACATGATATATGATACAGAACGATATGACATGATATAGAACACAACATGATACAATACGACACAATGGGTAAGATATATGTTGCATCATGATACACTAGGACAGAGCATGATACAAAACAACACAATATTACATGACATGACATAGTTTGCCAAAACAAAATCTCAATCCTTCTGAAAAATTCCAAACTGTTTCAACTTTGATAACTTTGGATTTGTTAAATGAAAACACAACTTCTTATGATAGTTATTTTTTTTAATTAAAATTAAAGTCTGGGTTTCTTAAATTCATTATTCAAAAGACAAATGTAATACAAAATGATATGATACAGTAAGATACAACAAAATATGTCATACAACATGATGTACTTTCGATGAAGTATCAGAGAACTCGCTGAATCAGCTTTCTAAGAGATAATTTGGCACTTTTTGAGTTAATACAAATCCAAAACATTCAGAGTTTAAGATTTTTTGTAAATCAACTGAACATTAAACTTTCTGTTTTTTACAGACTGCTTTCATTCAGTTCTGAAACTCCCAACATACTAGAATTAGTTAACTTCGAACAAAAGCATAATTCAATGAACTCAGATATAGGACCACACCCTGTGCTGCTTGTTGCTGTGGTTTAAGTACTTACATGTCAGTTTAAACGAACACAGACTTTAATCAACTTTAGCTCCATTTTCTGGATCAAAATATCGAGTTTTAGAGTTTATTAAAGGTCCACATCTCAGACTCTTTCAGCCTGAATATGAACAGTAAATCCTCGCAAGTCTGTCAAAAGCCAACAGCAGCAGCTCCTTTGATTTAAACCTGCTGAGTCCAGGTTTTCCAGACCTCCATGAGCCAAAATGCAATCAGATTCGATTAAAATGGTGAAAGCAAATCAAGCTTCTGCAAGTCTGTAAGGTTTTTCAATCATCTTTCACTCATTCAACTTTGACATGTAAAACATCAGCATATTTTCATCCACAGAGTTCATTTTTACTTTAAAATGTCCAAAATCTTTCCAACTATTTACAGTATATTTGAGTCACCTTTTTTAATATATTTACATTTGTTTAGTTTTACAGTTTGAAGTGACATTATGTTTTTAGTTCTCTTCACATTTTTTGGCACATCACAGATAAAATATTCCTTGAAAGTCTTTTAAACATTTTGCAATCACTTTGTAGAAAATAAGGAAACATTTGTCTGCTACATTTGCTGTACCGTCAAAACAGGACAGTCTTGATGCAATATTATGGCACATGCACTGACTAACGAAACACCTGTTGCATGCATGTGTAGAGCTGTATCACATTCACAATAATAATAGTAAAACACCATAAAACACAATGTAGTGACTTACAAGGTTGGGTGTATCGAGAATTGTTATAGAAACTGAAATCATGTCCACCATCAATAAGACCAACAGGTCTGAGATTTGCCCAGCTGTAGATGATTGTTTGTTCATTGATTTATTGTGTTCAGGTCAGTCAGTCATCTGATTTTTCATCAGTGCCAGTCTCAGTACCTTTGCAGCAACTGTTTTCATTGTGAACAACCCTAGTTTTCAAACTGGATATCATAAGCAAAAGGTCCATTGATTGCAAAACCAAGATAGAAGGAGACTCTTTCTGTGCTGTGACCACCACAAACGTGTCTGGCATAAGCTGGGCGCACAGGGATTTTCAGTTTTCCATAACAGGCAAACACCTCCTCCAGTTCAATGGTTCCTCTGACTCGCTGAAGACTGTTAGTGATTGCTTTTTCTTTAAAGATGTCTCCATTCTGCCAGAGCCGTGCCAACTCTTTACGGTCCATCTTAAAATTCTTGTCAAGTTGGGGCTTTGAGACAAGCCTCTTGAGTCCGTTTTCTCTTCCCAGGTAAAGGTAGGCAATAGTGCTTCTATTTCGGAGCAATGGCCTGAGGCGCTTGTGGGAGGACTTTCGAATCGCTTTGACATAAGTTAAGATGTCAGTATTGTCCTTTTTGTTGTTTGGACTTGGCCAGAACAACAGCAGAGCCAGGTAATATGGGTCAGGGACATGGTACCCAAGTCCGACATCTTGCAGAGTTGCTAACAGGAGGTCAGAGAGGTGGCTGTGACTCTTTGCATGTTTGGATTTAGGTTTTGAAAGGCAAAGAACAATGCAGGACAGAATGTAGTTGATTGTCTCCTTTGTCTTTTGATTTTTGTTGACATTCTGGTGTTGGTGTTGTTTTCGCAGTAATGCATAACACTCTGTGATGCTCTCGATCTCCTCGGCCGGTTTGTCCAAACGCTGAAGTATTCCTGAAAATGTGTCTGCTTGGTTCTTCTCAAGATACAACCTTCGTTCCTCCACATTGATTGTCAAATCAAGATTGGGATTGCTTTCCCGCTCTTTTTTGATCATCTCTGGTTCAGTGCAAAAGAGGCTGACATACTCTTTAAAAAGATCGCAGACAATCCTGTGATTCTTGGACTGGTATTCTACAAGGTTCCATTTTATGTATTTGAAGTAACAGTCAAGAAGATCGAATGTGTCCTTCGCCTCAGGTCTCAGACTTTGAAGGAAATGTTCATGGCCTTTGATGATCTCCTCGTACCTGTTGTTTGTCTCATTGTTCTCTTTGTACACGCTGGTGATCGGCATTTCTTTTCGGAGGAAACTCTGCAAGTATTTCTTCCTCATTGGATCACTTTTCTCAAAAAATGGCAGTCTGCTCAGTATCTCAAAGACCAGGAATGCTATTTCCAGCACGCCTACATAGCCTTTAACACTGTAAGACCGTCTGGAATAGTCATCTGACTCATCATCAGTAGGTTCCTCTTCAGGTTCATCCTCTGCATTTGCCAGCTCTTGAGCCTTTTTGAAAGCTGTGATGGCATTCATTGCCATTTTGATGTTTGTGCTCAAGTCTTCTGGGTCACATGACATCTCCTGCTTTTCTCTCTGGATGTTACTCTTCAAGTTGGTTTTGTGAATCTGCCCAATGGTGTCAAATGTGTATGAGATTCCTTTGATGTTCCTTGCCTTTTCAGCCCATTTCAGGGCCTCTGGGAAGTCCTGCTCCCTGATGCACAAATATCTTGCCAGGGCTTGAGGAATGGCCACACTTTTCTCAAACCTGGATGATGCTTTCTCAAAGATCCGTTGAACAGTTTGTCTCCCCTCCTCACGATGAATTTTGTCAATGAGGGGGGAGAACAGCTCTCTCTCAACACCATCTTTTTTGTGTTGTCTAACAATCAACATATGTTGAAGCGAATCCATTAGTTTTTGCTTGACAACGCCACGGCTGAAGAAGAGATCACAATGGAGGATCTCCTCAGTGATATCACTCACTTTTAAAGAGATCATCTTCTCCAACTCCATCAGACATGCGGCTGCAATGGAGTGATGAAGGACTCGGATCCCTTTGTATCCCCCCCATGATTCCATACTGTCCAGGATGAGAAGATTTGAGTAGGGCTCCATTCGGTCCAGGGCACTTTCCCCATGTGAGCGAAAATTTTTCATCCCAAGAAAGTCCTCACAGAGGGAGCATGCCAGTTTAGACTCTTCCTCATAGGTGTTGAGTAGTGCTATGAAAGTAAAGAGCTGGGCCTCCTTTGAGCTGTTATTAAAGTTCTCCGGGGTGTTATGAGCAAGATCCTCAACGTACTTTTCGTCAAAATTGCTCTTCATGAACATGAAACTGTAAAAATTCTCAGGTTTTTCATGAGTTTCTTTCAACTCTTTGAGTTTCTTCTCAAACTCCTGCTTTTCCTCTGGTGTCAGTGAAGCAGTGATGTATTGACTTGGGCTGTAACATCTGTATTGCTCCTTTGGGTTGTGGGAGCGAACACAGTTCAGGATGATTACCTTGCAACTTTGTGAGTTGCTGATATTTATGTTACAGTGAGTCGCTACAGCGTCAGAGATGCAGTTTTTAAGTTCGGATGGATTCTCCATTTCCTTTGAGTCGTCAACCAGCAGCAGAACTGGACATGGTTTCTCACTTTCAAGTTTCATGAGTTTCACAACTTGGACAGCAACTTCTGTCATTGGCAGTTCATTGTCTTTCAGCACAGCACATCGCACTTCCTTTCGCAGATCCCACAGGACATGCATTGCCAAAGTGGTAGCACCACAGCCTGGATGGTGAAACAGACTGAGCAGAGCACACAGGTTTTTAGACTCTCTCAAGTGATACATGATCATCTTTTTCACATTTTCATACTTGTCCCTCTTGATAAATGGACTCTGTTTGTCTTTGTCACAGAAGAAGAAGTTCCACCATTTGACTTTGCCTCCTCTGTAGAATTCCTCCTCGTATTTGATTTTTTTGTCATGAAACTCTGGACTGTTGTCTTTGTAGATGTTTTCACACTGATTCTGACAGAGAATGTCCAGAGCTGTCAGTGAGTCTTCATCCTTCTTTTTCAGGACAACAAAACTGGAGTCACAGGATGGAAGAAGCCTTTCAGACGATTCACTGGATGGTCCCAAGGCCATGATTGTTCCGTTCACTTCACTGAGGCTCAGCGTGTTTATAGATAGTGGGTCAATGTCAAAGTCACACTTTTCTTGTATCATTTTTCTCCATTTTTCATAGGTGCTCTGAGATTCACAAATATGAATGATCATGTCATCTCCAATGTGTTTGAGGAAGGCTGTGTAGGTATAAAAAATGGGGTCTTTCTCAGATTCTACAGGTGAAAGAAGGAGGAATATTATGAGACATTTCCCATGGCGTAGAACTTCATGGTTGCAAATGAATGAAACCATTTGCTCTACATCTCTGCAAGATTTCCTAAACCAGTTCTTGTAATCCAACTCCTTGTTTGAGTCATCATCAAGGTCGTGTCTCCCGTTGCAGAAGACCCAGCTGGTTTGCCTGTAGAGGTTAAGGTCCTCTATGACTGAGTCAGTCTGTCCTTGGTACTGTGAGGGGGTATGAAGGTTAGCCCACCTCGTGTCTCTGTAGGAGTGACACAGTCTTCCTTGAATGTTAGAGTTTGGGTCAAAGTCTAACACACAGAAAAGCTTCAGCTTGGACAAAAACTTTAGATACTGGATTTGTTCTTCGTTGCTCTTGTTTACTACAATGACAAAAAAGTCGTAGTTGTCCAGCGAGTTCCCACCACAAGTTAACAAGTCCTTTAGTTTTTCACCCTGGTTAGCTTCTCTCTTCACTGCCTCTTTGGATAGACCCAGCTGCTGGTATCCACCTGAGAGGAACACAAATTCACAAGTTAATGACGCACCAGATTTGTTAATATGAAGTGTTTCAGTCAAATCAATACAGCTTCACTATAGGCAAAGGGGACTGATTACAAACCACTAATCCCTGACTGTTAGCCAGCTGCACCTCACATACATCCACTTCAAGGCAGGATATTTACACTGTAATCAAATGCACATGGTTTGAGGTTTGGAACTTTTGCCTAATTTTTGAGTCGACCCATCTTCTCCGTTCTCACCACAAAAGTCAGAAACCCAGCAGGGGCAAGATTAGGAAAAGCTAGGACTCTAGCAGAGACGTCTACACCTGCTCGATTTTTTAAATTGGTTGTCTTACCTATGTTCTTCTCCAGCTGATGAGAAAGGTCTCTTTGGCCGATATCTTTCAGAATATTTATCGTGACTTGTGGGGCCTCGTTGCTTGTATAGTAGTCAGTTATTAACTTAGCAACATCCATGGGGTCACTGTTTTCCAGTTTACTCTGAGGAATTGGTTTATACTTGGATCCTTTGTAGTCTTTGAGGGTGAAACAAAACTTTTTAAAGTCTTCCTTGCGCAGGTTTTCTAGAGTATTTAGGATCACCACAGTCATATTAGGTTCATCTGATGGGCCTGGAGTCTGCAAATACAATACACATGTAAGGTCAGTTTTGCATAAAGACCATGATAGGCACATTGTTTAAAGTTTAAGTATATTTACAACAGTCATCTATCATTTTTAAAAAGACTTTATTTCCAGCCTTAATCCACTTTTTCCTGTCTGAAACACTGAAGAGGAACAGACACTTACCACCACAGCCTCTCTTCTCTGGGTCTCCAGATTTGGTACTTCTGGCAGACGAGTCTCCTCTAAATCTTTCTTGGACTGGTGTTGAACTCTTTCAGACTCATCTGTCACCATTTGTTTTGGTTTTAATTCAGTTGCTTCTGCTGGTTTAGGTGCTGGAGTCTGAGACAGACTTGCATCCAGCTGACTGGGGTCTGGAGCCTCTCTTTGTTCAGAGCTGTTATGGGGGTCAGGTTGCAGTACTGGCTCTGGTTGTTTATTCAACTCTCTAAGTTTTGCCAGAATCTTAACAGCAGGACCACTTTTGACCTCCAGGTCCAATAAATCCTGCTTTTTGAAGCAAACAAGACAGTCCCCAGACACATCTTCTTCATGGAGCCGATCTGCGTATTTGCTGTAAACCTTCACATGCTGCAGTAACCACTGCCTCACTTGTTCCTTTGTCCAGTTTTCCACATATGTTGTGATCCATCCTTGATGCTTTCAAGATAGGATTTGATTTTGACAGCAGGACCATGTTTTATTCCCAAGTCCAGTATATCTGTCTTTGTAAAGGCTGCTAAAGAGTCCCCAGACACTTCGTCTTTAATGAACTTGTCTGCACAAGTCTCATGTACTTTGACCTTTGCCGTCAGCCACTGATGGACTTCTTCTTCGGTCCACTTTTCCATTTAAGCGGTTGGTTGGGTGGTTGAATGTCTCATTTTGGGTCAGCTGAAAATCAAACAGATAACTAGGTGATCAACAGCAATCTACTACCACTCACATCCACACTATGGCCACTTATTGCTGTGTTTCAGTTCCTTGAGTACCCACCTGAGGCTGGTTCCATGTTCGAACTGAGACAAAAAAGCCCATTTTTAGAGGAAATAGTGAACACATATACAGCCTGGTTCAGAAAATGATTCGGGTCTGACCAGCTCAGGGCCCTTATAGCATCCACTATGCGAGGAGTGCCATGATTGATAAATTAGAAGGACAACTGACTTTACTGACAGGCGGGCATGTAAGAGCCAGATATATAACTATAACCCAAAATATTATTAAAAAATTAATATATAAAGCCCAGAATGTAATAATTGGTCAATTATGTAACAAAAGTGTTAAGTCTGACATGTAATTAAAGTCCCACTCCGCTTGTTTTTTTTTTTTTTAATGACTCAAAGTATTGTAACGCTTCTCAAAAACAGGTCCGACACAGGACTGGTCTTCTGGCGTTTCTTTCATTCAGTCTCGCACGTTCACAGGCATTTCATTCAAAAACCACCAACACTACAAAACTGCCTACAACTTCCGGATCACTTCCCAATACCCCGGAAAACTGCCCCCCTCCCTCTCTCTCTAGCTGCCCACAGCCCACACACACAGACCGAGGGAGATACTGCAGCAATTTTAACTGACGCCGTTACAGTATTCTCGATGGTCTTATAATTATGAAGTTTTTAGCCAAAATTACATTACCTGTGTCATTTCAAGGGCTTTTCTTCCAAAGAGTTCTAGTAGCTAATTAACAATTCGCCTCTGAGTCGTGGGCAAAGACAGTGCTGCTCTGCACACTCGTCTTAGCGCTAGCTTGCAGCCCAACTTGCCAGTGTAGTAGAAGTGCCGGGCGTTATACGAGCTCTTAAGCTCTTGGACACTAATGTCTTTTGGGGCATAATGATAGGTAATATTATAATTAGCTTTCTTACGAGCATTGCAATACGCTAAGGCACACACTAGTTCCATGATCGTCCTCTCTACTTTTTTGAGTCTGGCCTGCATAGTGGGGCCCCAGGGGCGGAGCTTGGATTTGCTACGTAGGAAATCTCACTGTATCTGAACCTGCCGTTTGGGTCTGCCTGAGATTCACAGCAATTTGAATGCAGAAATACTCAGAAATGAAATTTCACAAGTACTTTTTTCATGACTCGTCCTGTAGCATCAGAAAAAGGCCAAATGAACATGTAGACAACAAAGAAAACATGATTTTGATTGGACTAAGTCTTTAAAAAAATGTAACAAAACCTAAAATGTAATATAAACAATGTAATGACTTACCCAAAAAGTAACAAGTTGCTACATTTTGTCAAAAAGTTTTGTTTTGCGCTCAGCATCTTGTTACATTATTGACCAATTACAATTTTTCAGGATTTAAAAAAAAAAATTTTGGTACATTTTAGGTCATTGTTACATATCATTTTCACAGGCTCTAACAAGGCACACTGTAGCTGTATGCAAGGAGGTTAAAGACCTGCATCTAGTAGGTTGACTGAAAGTTAGGTTTCACTAACCAGATTAATCCCTGTATTGTTACAGGAAATAATATACTAGAAGGCATAGTACAGTAAGGTCTAACATTACCTGTGAGTAGTGTAACAACTGAAGAATGCCTAAATGAAGCCAAGCTATTGGGGAGAAGCCCCCGCAAAGACCTATACTCTTCAGGCCAGTCTTTATGTTTTTTGGTAAACTGTAACCTCCTCAGCATATGCTCAGGTTTTTTTTTTGTTTGCAAAAGCTTAATAGATGTTTCAAACTGTTTTCTTCACATTTCATCTTACAGTCAATTAAACACAGAAAAGTGATGAAGTTGCTGCATCAGGACCGCATCACGTAAGTAAAAAATAAATATATTACAGGTTTATGACAAAGTTTGCTTCTGGTTGTCAATGAGAAAGTAGCATCTGCATATTCCTTACTCAGCTTAAAACATTCAAATACAACAACATTAACAAGTGAAAAAGGGGAAAAAAACAAGAAAAATAGTAAGTTCTCACCTTTTTAAGTCCTTTGACATCTTGGACTGCTGGTCCCCCTCCTCAGATTTTAACATGTGATGGTCTCCTTTCTTTGTTTATTCTACCATAATCAGACCTTCTTCGTCTCCTCCGTGTCGTTAAATCTGAACTGACGGTTCGGTGGTTTTGTAGCACTCACACCCACATCTGCAGAGAACAAGTTCAGCAAGTCTCACCAAGCAATGAAACAAAACCTACGCGGTTTGGTTAACGCCCCGGCAAACTGTTCAGTCAGTCAGTCAAACAAAGACAAGTATGATGAACACAAAAGCAGCTGTTTGTTTTTTAAGCAATAAAAGTCCTACTTCCTGTTCGCCTCGCTCTTTCTCTATGACCGAAACTTGCCAGCAATTGCATGTAGGCTGGGCCGGGCTTCTCTGACACATGGAAATGTCAATTCAAACTTGTGAGTGTTTACATAAAGGCAAAGTAACTGAGGTAGTCAGACAGTCCATCTAAAGGTTCAGGGTTTATGAGCTTTGTTGATGTTTAACAGTTTACAACTCCAACCCTCCTAAATGTCACGAAAACAAGCATTTCAGAAAAGACCATAAAGAGGATTCTAGATAAGGAAGTATGAGAGAGGGACATGCAAGGTATGCAGTTTGCGATGCTAAAACCTGCCGTCCTGATAGGAATGAATAAGAATAAGAATTAGAATAACTTTATTTATCCCCAAAGGTAAATTTGATTAAATAATGGCTGGTCGGTTGATAGCCGAGTAGTTACATGGGTAAAAAAAGCCTTAGTGATCATTCCTCTGTAGATGGCTTCAATATTACTCAATACAAAACTGGGCTTGGATGTTTCTCCCAATCTCAGAACGGATAAACATCTGATCCACTTATTGCTTTCCCACATAGGTTTTAAGGGGGAATGATGATTTAGCATTTCCACTTATAAAGTTATATGTAACTGTGCCGATAAAAACAAAACCAGCCTTAACTTGTACTACAGTTGGTAACCTCCCTCCTTTTTTGCTGAAACCTTTAAATCTCCACATGAAAACAGAAGAGATGACGAGTTTGTGTCTTCGTTGAGCTGGATGGAGGTTCCCGGCGGATAAATATGTCCTGCGTAATCCAATACTTGAACTAGTGCAAAATATTACATAACCTTACAAAAACCCTGAAACCAGCTGATCTGCAGTGAAAACACACAAATCTCTCTTCTATGTCCCAAGCGATATAAGTTTTTAATCCTGTGCACACGATTACAGAGCTGGTGGAGTTTCTTTCTCCTGTTCTAGGATGATGTCGGGGAGTCACGGAGGCTGAGGCCGGCTCCGGAAATGATCATGTTTGAGGGGAACGCCGCAGTTTGAGCTCACCGCAAATAAACGACTGTGCTGGCATCATATCTGAGCGGCAGCCTGAGGGGATGAGTCATCCAGAGGACTTTCTTTCTCTTTTTCCCTCCTCCTCATTCCTCCAGTGCTGTAATCTGCTGCGCTCAGCGCCTCATCCTATGGCTGCTGCTCCTGCTTGTTTGGCTGCAAACTACAGCATTAGTCATCTGTAATCAGGCCTGTAATCAGAGGACGCTGCAAGATTATCGATACACAACATTTCTCTGATACTGATAGTCCACTTGAGCTGGAGGCGGTGAAGATGTTTATGTAAAGAGGAGGTAAATTCATATTTATGGCTGTAAAGTCAGAAAAAGTCATTTGCATCAGAAAGTGGAGATAATGTGTTTTTCCTTTTTTTTCCTCTCGTAATTTTAATGTTTCTCTTTTGTTTTTGTTTCTGTTTGCTGACGATAACAAACCCACTTTGGGTTCATAATTATGTTTCTGAAACACGGTGGATGATATGAATGAAAAAGGAATTACAAACTCAGTCGGACAGTTTCTACTCTGTTGTCCTCGAATGACACTCCTAATTCAAAGGGATGTAAGTCTCCTGGTAGGGGTGGGTGATATGGCCGTCTGAAATTAAATTGATGAAAATTATGTTGTTTTTCTGACAAACAGATCATTTTGACTAAGATTGGAGAAAAAGTTGTGACAGGGACAGATTAATCATTTCGCTGCATCACGTCTTCTACTTCTGAGCCATGATGTTGTAATATGAGCTGAATGTGGTTAATCAGTGTCTAACTGAAATATTGAGGTCTTCTCTGAAAGAGTTATTGTCTATATGGTGGCAGATGTTGCACCAAAACTGTATTTAAAGTTCAGTGTCAGCCTTTGCAGATGTGTTTGGCGCCAATTTACTGTGGTGGAAACTTCTGCTTCCTGAACTGTAACAGCAGTGTGGTTAGCTGGATTAACAGAAGTGTCTGTTTGTGGGCGGGGCTTGCTGGAGGAGAGAGGGAGGGGAGAGGAGGGGCTGAGGGGAAAACTGGTTGGGAGGGGTAGAGTTTACATTCAAGATTCCTCCTAAAAACTGGAACCTCCTCAGATCCTGACTACCCCACTTTTTAGCGTCAAACCCGCTCTCCTCCAGGGTGCTGCATTTGTTTGGATTTTCACCACGATAATTTAACTCCCATGCTCTTCAGTGGAATATAAATCAAAAAGCAGGAGGACAGGGTTCAGACGGTGTGCTTGGGAGCTGTCTATAGCGCCATAAAGCCTGGATGAGTTGGGAGTTCAAATGGCTGTTTCATGGCATTACGTCCTTTTTCATCCAGGAATATTTGAGCTTCCTCCTTAAATTTGAGGTTAACAACATCCAGAGGGCTTCACACTGGGTCTTCGAGCAGTTGAGGCATTCAGAAGACTCCCTCCTGAGTGATTTATTAAAAAGAGGTTGCTGCAGGTCGGCGGTATAATGATGTTGATCAGCATCACCTTCACCTCTGTTTCCCATGGGTCACTGCTTTTTACAGGCAACATTGATTACCTCTGCACAGAGCTCATCAGCCTCGGCACCTGTCAGGACCTGCAGTGTTCATGCTGCCGGTGCTGGTGTTTGAGTCTCCTCTAACAGTGACATGAGTAGGTCGTCTCCGGTGTGATTTCAAGATGTTGTTGTGGAGCCAGATGTTCTATTTTAGATGAGGTGAAGTCATGTGACACGAGTCCAGCACGTGATTTGCTGGTCTGGTTTGGGAAAACTCTAGGGTTTGAAATCGAGGGTCAGTCTGAGTCAATCTTGCGGTTGTTCTTTCATGGATTACAGGAAGCTCCATTTGTCCTGATCCTTGTTGGTCTGGATCCAGGAGGTCCATTCTCTCATCCATCACTCTCAGGACCAGCCGATGACAGATGTTTTTAGACTAATTTTAGCCGTTTTTGACCAATCACCCGTGGATTCCACTGGATCCAGAATGGCTCCAACCCACCCCCGCCATCAGAGGAGAAGCGCTCGCGATATTTCCCATGAGACTGGACGAGATTTGGCGTGTTTCCCTGTGAGACATGGACTGATATCCTCTGATCAGTGTATACAAACGGTGATGTACATAAAAACCCACATCCAACAACCCTGGCCCCTACTATTATCAAGCAAACAAAAGCTCAACGTATTGACCTTTCCTTGGGGTCTTTGCTGGTGCTCCCCCTGCCAGAATTTAGCCCGCATACCAAACTAGCTCCTCCTCTTTATGCTTCATCTGATCTGATCAGGGCTGTACGTATCGTCACTGGAGTCTGCTTTGCTCTGTACTCCCAGGAAACTTTGCTGCTGCTCTGCCCACCTTGGCTTTACATCTGTCTGTTGTATATTTCACCTTGTTCCCGTGGTTACTCCCTGAACTCAGCAGCAGCAGTCAGAGTCCCAGGCTGGGCGCTGTCAGGTTGATGTATGAAGTCGCTAAGCGCTCACACACCGTCGCGCATGTCGTGTGTTTGGAGCTTCGCCAAATTCTGAGAGTGTTTCAGCTCCTTCCCCCCCGAAGACCTCTGCAGCTGACTAAACATGTCGCCTCCCCAAACGGCGCCGGTCTCCCCCGCCTGTCACTGCGTCTCAATGCAGCTCTGCGGCGTCCTGCTGCCAAACCGGTGAATGAAGACCTGAGGCAGAAATTAAACCCTCAGACTCTGACAGAGCATCAGCAGGAACACAACGTAAATGGTTTCCTTTTGTAACTTTAACTTTGTACCTTTTGTAACTTTTGAACCTTGTTGTTTTCATACATAAGCGAGGCAAAAATGATCCTCTGAAACCCAGCCCAGTTAGAGAGAACTTCTTAAGCTCACCCAGGAGTGGAAATAGTGGGGGTCTCTCTTTGTGTTTACACCCAAGCTAAGCCCCTCTGCAAGCGTATGAGTCACACCTTAATGAATGAATCGGTGTGTTCGTGTGTCGAGGTGTGTGGCTGTCAGCCTGAGGGTTTAAATTTGAATAGAAAACTAAAAATAATAATGTGAATCCGTGCACAGTTGGACAAGTTTGTGTGAAAATGTGTGTTTGTGTGTGTGTGTGTTGGTGCACGGAGGAGAAGCCACTTAATGAGCAGCTATTTTCAACCCTCTCCAGGACAGAATGTCGTATTTGCTGTGAAAACAGGGCGGCGGGTGGCACACATCAAATCACAGTAGATAGAAACCGATCTTTAATGAGCCTCCCAAATTCAGACAGCACTTCTGATGTGTCACCGGGGCGTGTTCGCTCTGAGAAAACCCTCCGGGAACAGCGAGCAGTCTTTGAACATCGACGGTGATTCACAAAAAACAACAACAGGATTCAATGCAAATCAAGAGTAACAGTTTGATTTTGTATCTTTACTCGAGTATCGACCGACAGGAGGATTAAAACGCTTAATAACATCCTGAACAGTAAAAAATCAGAAATTAGAAACATGATATTACAATAACGAAGATTTTAGAGGTGAAATCTAAAGTAACTGCACCATTTTGGGGTGATAAGATGTTTCCTTAAAGACTTCTGATGTAGTCTTGGTTAGTGTTGGGCGGTATATTCCTTATATTCACCAGCGTGGCGTGCAGAGTTTGTTCTCTCCTTTGATTGGTCAGGTTTGGATGCGCTCCCTACAATCACCAGCGTGTCCAGCAGACTGCTTGTTATAGTTTTGACGAAGAAGAAACAGCTTCACTGGTGGTGGTCATGGCGGACGCAGAGATTAGTGGTAGTACCGAGCAAACAGAGGCAGCCTGACCCACCCAACATGAGGAAGAGGAGGAGGAACTCGTTCCGAAAAAGGGCGCGAGTCGCAACATCGGTTGTCTGGAGATTCATCG